GCAGTATAAGCCACTCATCATCGGCAAGGTTGGGTTTGGGCCTGCTGCTTTTGCCTACCCCTGGGCTGCCCTCTGCAACCCCCAGTACCTATTGGCCTTATGCTAGGCCGCAGCCTGGGGCTTTCCAGGCTGGAGCTCCCCAGCTCTTCTGCCTTTCCCCAGCCCTGCTCCACTCAGGTACCCTGTCTCTAGCTCCCTGCAGCCAGGCCCTTCTCTCTCTGAATGCAGAGGGAGAGTGCCCTGGGCCTCTGGCTCACAGCCTTTTATAGGGACCAGCTGGGCCTGATTGGGGCATGGCCCAGCTGCAGCCGCTTCCCCAATCAGTCCAGCTTTTCCCTGCCACAGCCCTCTCCCTGGCTGTTTTAAGCCCTTCAGGGCAGGAGCGGGTGACCACCCCGCTACATGGTGATTGAAGTCTCCCATGAGAACCAGGGCCTGCGATCTAGTAACTTCTGTTGCCGGAAGAAAGCCCCGTCCACCTCATTCCCTGGTCTGGTGGTCTATAGCAGACTCCCACCATGACATCACTCTTGTTGCTCAGACTTCTAAATTTAATCCAGAGATTCTCAGGTTTTCCTGCAGTTTCAGTCATACTGATCTCTTACATACAATGCAACTCCCCCACCTTTTCTGCCCTGCCTGTCCTTCCTGAACAGTTTATATCCATCCATGACAGTACTCCAGGCATGTGAGTTATCCCACCAAGTCTCTGTTATTCCAATCACATCATAGTTCCTTGACTGTGCCAGGACTTCCAGTTCTCCCTGCTTGTTTCCCAGGCTTCTTGCATTTGTGTATAGGCACTTAAGATAACTCGCCGATCGTCCCACTTTCTCAGTATGAGACAGGAGTCCTCCCCTCTTGCTCTCTCCTGCTCGTGCTTCCTCCCAGTATCCCATTTCCTCACTTACCTCAGGGCTTTGGTCTCCTTCCCCCGATGAACCTAGTTTAAAGTCCCCCTCACTAGGTTAGCCAGCCTGCTTGTGAAGTTGTTCTTCCCTATCTTTGTTAGGTGGAGCCCATCTCTGCCTAGCACTCCTCCTTCTTGGAACGCCATCCCTGGTAAAAGAATACAAAGCCTTCTCTCCGACACCACCTGCGTAGCCATTCGTTGACTTCCACGATTCGACCGTCTCTACCCGGGCCTTTTCCTTGCACAGGGAGGATGGACGAGAACACCACTTGCGCCTCAAACTCCTTTATCCTTCTTTCCAGTGCCACGTAGTCTGCAGTGATCCGCTCAAGGTCATTCTTGGCAGTATCATTGGTGCCCACGTGGAGAAGCAGGAAGGGGTAGCGATCCGAGGGCTTGGTGAGTCTTGGCAGTCTCTCCGTCACATCGTAAATCCTAGCTCCTGGCAAGCAGCACACTTCTCGGTTTTCCCGGTCGGGGCGGTAGATAGATGACTCAGTCCCCCTGAGGAGGGAGTCCCCGACCACCACCACCTGCCTCCTTCTCTTGGGAGCAGTGGTCATGGAACCCCCATCCCTAGGACAGTGCATCTCATGCCTTCCAATCGGTGGAGTCTCCTTCTGCTCCCTTCCCTCAGATGTATCATCTAGTCCACTCTCCGCATTAGTACCTGTGGAGAGAACATGAAAACAGTTGCTCACCTGTATCTGCATTGCTGGTACATGGACGCTCCTCTTCCTTCTACTGGAAGTCACATACTGCCAAATTTCTTCACCATCCTTCTGTCCCAGCTGTGCAGCCTGCTCTGATTGTTCATAACGTTGTGCCTGTAGAAGCATATCCTGACGTCTGTCCAGGAAATCTTCATTTTCTCTTATGCAACGCAGAGTCGATACTCTTTTCTCCAGACCTCGAACCTTCTCTTCCAATACGGAGACCAGCTTGCACTTTTGTACAGACAAAGTCGCTTCTGTCCTGTGGAAGAAAGGCAAACATGGCACATCCTGTGCAGGTAACAACAGCTGAACGCTCACCATCCATATTTCCTTCCTTCTAAGAGCTTCCTCAGCTGTTGTAGTAACTACTCAGAGAAGCCTGTAAGATGAAAGCCTCAGTGCACTCTCCCCAGGCGAACTCCCAGGCAAACTCCCTCTGTTAGCCTCCGCTGTTCACCGCTCAGCTGGTTCGCTGCTGACTGCCTTTTTATAACAGAATGAAGGCAGTGAGTTTATCCCTGTGCCCCTCATTGCCATTGCTTGGAAGCCCAGAGCCAGCACTTCTCCCATCAGTGGGAATGGTTGGTTGCCATGGTCCAAGTGGGTGGCAATGGAAGCCAGGCCTGGAAAGAGGTTGCTGGAAGGCCAGTTTACTGGTAATTTAGGAGAATGTTATTATAACTGCTCCCCACTAACTCTGTCATGGCTGCACCTGGTGGTTGCCCTCACAGATAACTGAGACTCACTGATTGTCTGTGACAGGTGACATGGGGGAGGAGGACTGAAGCACTGGACTCTTGCAATTCAAGAGAGTTACACAGCTCTGCAAAAGCACCTCAATCCTGATCTACATCCTGCCTCACTCCCTGCTATTCTGGTCTTGGGTATCTCCCAATCCCAGCTCTGCTAACACACCTCAATCCAACTTGTGCATCATTTCCCACTAGTCAAGCCATGTGGCCATACACTGTTCTGCAGCAACCTTTGGTATTCAAGGCTCAGGCCTTGACAAAGAATCACAGAATTTACATCAGCCACGGGTATTCCTGTCCTAGCTCCCCACAACTATGCCAATATAGCTCCCACAAAACAAACAGCTCTCATGCAGTTGGCTCAATTATCGTCCCTCTTTTGCCCCGCACCATGACACCATCCCTGAACCTGGCTCTGCCATTTCCACGGGGGGGGGGGGGGGAAGGAAGGGGCTGCTGTGAGGGCTGAGAGCTGTGTACAGAGGACCCCACCAAGAGCGAGAGCGGGTCCTTACATTGACTGTCCTTACTTTGCTCGTATTCTGACTGTCTGCAGCTGTCAAGTGCCCAGCGCTGGCCACCCCGGGCAGGGGCCGGTTAAACTGCACTCACTGGCATGGAGACTTCACGTATAACTCCACCTGCACCTTCTCCTGCGAGATGGGGTTTGTGCGGAATGGATCGGAGACACTGGCGTGCACAGCCCTGGGACAATGGACAGTGCGTCCCCCACTCTGTGAAGGTAGAGACACACCATTAACTGTGGGGTGTGCAGAGAATACATGGTGGAGCTGGTGTGATACGAGACGTCCTTTCCATAGGAGCCCAGATCTCTGCCCATTCTGGGGAGGAGAGCTATTTCGTATGATGGCTTGGGAGCCAGGGGACTAGATCCTTCGATATGGGACACACGTGCAATGCAAAGCTGTGTAATAGGGAGAAAATGGACCTTCGTCGCCATTGCCCTGCCCCTTGGGCAGCCATTTACACCAGTGTCAACTGTCTGCCCCACAACCCCTGGCACTACTGTCCCCTGTCTCCTCTTCCTGTCACCTTCCCCCAAACACAGCCAGACACCTGCCTCCTGGCACCCCACTAACCTGTTTATTCGGTAACCATCAGTCCCTGTCATGGTACCCTCCCTTCAGACAGTTCTCCCTCTGGCACTACACCCCCAGCTTCTCGCCATTCAACTCATGATAACACCTCATCCCCCTGAGGCATTAACACTCCAGCACCTCATTCCAGACAGCATTGTTCCACCCAGCGCCCAAGACATGCCACCCCCAGGGTCTGAAAACTGCAGCAATGCATCACTTAACACATAGCAATGTAGAGCTGGAAGGGACCTCAAGAGGTCTTCAAGTCCAGCCCCCTGCACTGAGGCAGGACCAAGTAAAACTAGACCATCCCTGACAAGTGTTTGTCCAACCTATTCTTTAAAATCTCCACTGATGGGGATTCCACAAACTCCCTTGGTAACCTGTTTCAGAGTTTTAACCTATCCTTATTGTTAGAAAAATTTTCCTAATATCTAACCTAAATTGCTGTTGCTGCAGATTAAGACCATTACTTCTTTTCCTATCTTCAGTGGACATGGAGAACAATTGATCACTGTCTTCTTTATAACAACCCTTAACACAATTGAAGACCGTTATTAGATACCCCCTCTTCTTTTCTCAAGATTAAATATGCCCAGTTTTTTTAACCTTTCCTCAGAGGCTAGGTTTTCTAAACATTTGATAATTTGTGTTGCTTTTCTCTGGAGTCTCTCCAGTTTGTCCACATCTTTCTTAAAGTGTGGCACCCAGAACTGCACACAGTACTCCTTCTGAGGCCTCAGCAGTGCAGAGTAAAGCGGGACATTTATCTCCCATATCTTACATACAGCACACCTGTTAGTACACCCCAGAATGATATTAGCCTTTTTTGCAGCTGCATCACATTGTTGATTCATATTCAATCTGTGATCCTCTAAAATCCCTTTTCAGCAATGCTACCACCTGGCCACTTATTCCCCATTTTGTAGTTATGCATTTCAATTTTCTTTCCTAAGTGAAGTACTTTGCTCTTGTCTTTACTGAATTTCATCTTGTTGATTTCAGACCAGTTCTCCAATTTGACAAGGTAGTTTTGAATTCTAATTCTGTCCTCCAAAATGCTTGCACTCCCTCCTAGCTTGGTGTCATCTGCAAATTTTATAAGCATCGTCTCCACTCTATTCTCCAAGTCATTAATGAAAATATTGAATAGTACTGGACCCAGGACTGACCCCTGTGGCACTCCACTAGATACGCCCTCCCAGTTTGACACAAACCAGTTTAACTACTCTCTGAGTGTGGTTTTTCAAGAGGTTGTGCACCCACCTTCTAGAAATTAAATCTAGACTACATTTCCCTAGTTTGCTTATGGGAATGTCATGTGGAGCATGATGCCTCTGGCATCACATCCCCCAGCACCCTTTGCCCCCAATACCTAACCTCATGTACCCATGCTCCCATGGCACTTCACACACACACCCATTAGCTAATTCCCCTGGCACTTCACCTCACAGCAACAAAGGACCATCCCCTGCCACATCCAGATTTTTCCTTATAAAGTTCTGCTTTGCTATTCCAGCTGTCAAGTGCCCAGTGCTGGATTCCCCGGGCAGGGGCAGATTAAACTGTACTCATTGGCATGGAGACTTCACGTATAACTCCACCTGTGCCTTTTCCTGTGAGACGGGGTTTGTGCGGAATGGATTGGAGACACTGGAGTGTACGGCCCTGGGACAATGGAAAGGGCGTCCCCCGCGCTGTGAAGGTACAGTACAGACTATACACTGCAGGACTGGCTTGGGAAGCTGCTTCTGCTCACGTGGTAGGAAGCACTGTGGCCTTAGACTGTCTGAACTTACAGAACTGAAAAGCAAATCAAGGAAATGTTAAACACAGGATTTAGAGCCCCTGTGAACACTCACAGGAAACTCTGTAGCTGCTGTGATAATGTAATCTAAGGTCAGGATTTCCAGTGCTGTGAGCTGTTCAGATGTCGTGGAGCAATCAGTACAGACTAATGGAGGTCTTCAGAGTACCTATACCAACCCATCTCTAGCAATTACAGTAGCAAGGTCAATATCTCGTCAGCCCTAGTAGTTACTGAGACAAGCTTCTACAAGAGTAGGAAACAGTGTCTTACCTACTAGGTTGGGAACTGAGACTGCATAGCATTTTAGCCTAAAGGCCAAAAGCAAATTTGCTTTAGTGTCTCAATAAGTCAAAAAGGGGGATATCTGTCTTGGCTAACTGCCATTTGGGATAGTAAATTCAGTGTTCATTAGGAGTTCATTAGTTTGGTGGAGACGCCATATGTGTGCTGATTTGAACATGTAACCTCAGTAAATGAGCCTGAGTCATGTTATTGTAACACAGGGATGTGAAATAGGATTACATTTTATATTGGATTCTTCTGGAATTATTTGCTTAATGTCCTTATCATTTAAACTGATCAATCTATTCCTGGATATAATTTCCATTAATATTCCAGCTGTCAAGTGCCCAGTGCTGGCTGCTTTGGAAAGGGGCAGATTAAACTGCACTCACTGGCATGGAGACTTCACGTATAACTCCACC